CTCAGAGTTGTGAATGAAAACAATCCGAAATTCATTATTGTATGTTCAACCGCCAAAATAATCGGGAAAGTATCTCCTTAAATATCAATTCCAACTAAAATTAAATTTAACTTTAGATGTGAATACACAAACACAAAGCAAAGAAGCAGAGATGTCAGTACTAGATCTATATGTTATAGATCTACCAGGGAGTCTAACTCCTTGGTAGAACATGACAATTATATTTTTTTTAATTTCACATTTGGCTGTTTTTTGTCTAGCCTTTCGCGGCCACGAGCCTGTGTCATAATCGAGGTCACGATCTGATTATAGGGCAGTAAAAAATAGAGAAAAAAAAACAAGCACTCGAAGCAGTCGAGAGATTATTAGGAGTTAGTTCCCCTCACATCTGTGAGGAAGACTCGACCAGTGTAATAGTTAGCTTACCTATTCAGTTCTTGAGACTGATTATAACTGTGGCCCGAAAGGGGTGAACAGGGTATATGTGGCAATGAAACAGTTTCGACTGCTATGCATACGTTCCCTTCAACTCTGTTGGTAGACTCTTCCAGTTTCACTTTAAGCTTACTTAATCAAAGCTTGTGACTGCTTATGGAGAGGCCCAAGAGGGGTGAACAGGCTATTTCTGTGGCAATGAAACCGTTTAGAATGTTAGGCATACTGTTCATTATTGATTATGAACGTCTTTTTACATTTAATTTATGAAGTTTACGTTTATGGGTGAATTTGACTGCGACAAGGTTTCAAAATTAGGAAGGGAAGCAGTGATTATTTGATTATATAGACGCTTCGCCTCTGCACACACACACACACACACACACACACACACACACACACACACACACACACACACACACACACACACACACACACACACACGTGCGTGCGCACACGCCCGCGCACAAATAAACAACACACACAAACACGCACATACACACAAAGAGACACACTCATATAAACACACCACTTGCACGCACATACACATCGTGCCTGTATGTATGTATTTGTATATGTGTGTATGTGTGTGTGTGTGTGTGTGTGTGTGTGTCTGCGTCTGCGTGTGTATGTGTGTGTTTGTATGTGTGTGTGTGTGTGTGTGTGTGTGTGTGTGTGTGTGTGTGTGTGTGTGTGTGTGTGTGAGTGTGTGTGTTAAAATACTTTCTTACAAACAAAATCATATCATACATAATAAGCAAGAGACATTTCTTTTCCTTTTCGAGACAAAGACAAGGACGCATTTACAATTTACAAGCGACTGATATTAAGGATGCAACAATGGAATGTAGTTCAACATGCGACGAATGCAATGCCGTAGAGTTTAACGCTGAAAAATAATACCGATTGTACAATGATACTCTAATGAAACACTAAGTTACAACAGTCATGGAGGACTGCTTGCTAACTTGGGTTCTCAATTCTTCAAGACAATGAATACAAAAACGAGCAAACAAATTGACGCAGAAACTAAAAACCTGAAAAATAACCCCAGAAAACGATTAGGACCGGCCAAGGTATAAAGAAATATACAGGGTGATCGCCCAAAAAACAAAACAAAACACAACAACAACTATACAACTTGTTTTGTAAATATCTTCCTTAATACTTAAGTTTGTCGTTTCAAATTTGAACATAATATTTGGAAACCAAAAGGAATTTGTTTTATATTCATTTTAGAAAAGTCTATTGAATGATTTTGCTGTATATGGCGCATTCAAAAAGCAACCCATTTTAAGTAGCATGACGCACCAGTTCGCATTAGGCCTACCACTAAAAGTTGTAACAATCGCGCCATAGTTCATGCTACATCAGCCTAACAAGTCAACAAAAGTCTGCAAATATTATTTTTCTCAAATTTTGTTTGCCTTCTGAGATCATGATTAAGTTAAGTAAAGGGCAGGCAGAGAGCTTTTTGTATCGAACATTACCCCTTCACAAACTCAACATCACTAACATTTCTTAAATTCTGCGCACGACATGGAAAGAATGCTTAGGTGCCCTCAAGACCTTTGGTGTCATGAGTAAATGAGTAGTGTAGTTCCGTAAGTTTAGATCTATAGTAAATCAGAACTAAAAATTGCCTTATTTCCTTAAAAATGACCACTTCAGGTCGAACACGCACCACGCACAGCCCTTCAAATGTGTCCAGGGTGCAGATTTCAGTAGTCGAGTCCCATGGGACGTCAGTCCATAGACGATCTGCAGCTAGGACTTTCCTACACCTCAAAACTCTGCATTCTCATGGCAGATCTAAACCTACGACTGTACCATTTTCATCTTCGCTAGGCCCAGATGACATGGATAAGAGCATGGCAATATGTTCATGATTCCTCAATTATTGTCTTGAAAAGCGTGATCATTTCCTCTATGACATTTGGTTTAGTACAAAGCCCATTTTCACCCTGCAGGATATGTACTTTACTTTACTTTTATACGTAAACTCCAAAAATGCTGTCTATCGGGCACCCCACTCGCTATTGTCCCTAGAAGCCACTTCATACTGAATATGTACAGTGTATGCGGCTTTAAAGATTGTTTTTGTCATTG